GGGTCCTCGCAGATTCATATCATGTGCAGGTGACTACGTCGCCAATTTCGGTGGCCGGGCCCGGGTGCTTGGGTGCTCAGGGGTGCCCGGGGGCCCGGGGGGCCTGGGGGGCCTGGGGGCCGCCGCGCGCGCGCTGGTGTAAAACGCGCGCGCGCGCGGCGGTGCAACGCCAGGCGGTGGGCCGCCTGTTGTAAAAAATCACGTTCGCGCGGCGGTAGCCCGCCTGGCGGCATCCCGCCTGGGGAAAAGGAGGGACGGAGAGGAGGGAGGCGGGAGCGGGGCCCCGCAGGCTGCACGGATCGATGGCGACGCCGACGCGTTTTTGAAAGCGCCCCCGCCCCCCATTTTCCATACGAAAAACAGACTTATCGGACTTATAAATTAGATATAAGTTACTTATAAGTAAGATATAAGTAAATTAGTTTTGATGAAGATGCTAGATATAAGTAAGAAGAAGTAACATACATGCAGCATGTAACATATGTCAACGCCATCACCAAAGTGGGGGCCCGCGGGCCGGGGGGCCCAGATGCCGGCATCTGGGCGCCTGGCCAGGTGCCCGGGTGCCCGGTAGCCCTATAGCCCTGTAGCCTTATAGCTAATAGCCGTATAGCTTTATGGCTCTATAGCCCTAGAGCCCTGTAGCCTCCTAGCCCTCGCCCTATAGCCCTACAGCCTTAATAGCCCTATAGCCCTATATAGCCCTAGTAGCCCTATAACGTTTTAGAATTTTAGCCCTATTGCTTTACAGCCCTATAGCCCTGTAGCCTTATAGTCCTGTGGACCTATAGCCCTAAAGCCTTAAAACACTACAGCCCTATAGCCCCATAGCCTTAGAGCCCTATAGCTCTATAGTCCCAAACGAAAATCATATTGGCGCTTTTCTCCGGTATCATGTGTTTTCGGGACACTTGGTTTTCAAAGCTTCCTGGAACCCGATGCAAAGGATGTCGGCATGCGCGCGTGACGCCGCGTGCGCGCGCGTGGACTTTGTTCCCCAATCAGAGCTTTCCGCTGTAGGGCTCTTAGCGGATTCGCACGGTTAGGTGAGGCTCGCCGCCGATTTCGGTGGCCGGCCCGGGTGCCCGAATGCCTCGGTGCCCGGTGGTGCGCAGGGGGTGCCCGGGTGCCCGGGGGCCTGGGGGCCTGGGGGCCCGGGGGGCCGGGGGCCCAGGTGCCCGGGTGCCCGGGTGCTTGGGTGCCCGGTTGCCCAGGTGCCCGGGCGCCCGGGTGCCCGGTAGCCTTATAGCCCTATAGCCCTACAATTTTGATAGCCTCATAGCCCTATAGCCTCATAGCCCTATAGCCCTATAGCCATGTAGCCCTAGTAGCCCTATAACCCTATCGCCTTATAGCCCTGTAGCCGTAATATCCACATAGCCCTAGAGCCGCATAGCCCTATAGCCCTATGGACCTACGGCCCTTGTAGCCCTACAGCATTTTAGCCTTTTAGCCCTATAGCCCTTTAGCCCTATAGTAGCCCATATCCCGATAGCCCTAGGGCCAATCGCCCTATAGCCCTATAGCCTTTATAGCCCTATAGTCTTTTAGTCCTATAGCCCTATCGCCCTACAGCCCTATAGTTCCAGATGCCTATAACTTTTTAGCCCTGTATCACTATAGCCTTATGGTCCTGTAGCCCTATAGCCGTATAGCCTTATGACCCTACAATGATTATGGTTGGGATCTTTCTCCAGCATCACTTAAGTGTTCCGTAGCGGGCTCTTACAATTTTATGATGCGCGATAGACAGGTGTGCTCGCGAAGCATTATTTGACAGGGATGGTGGGGCCAGTTGGTACTGGCTTGGCTGGAACGCTATGGTTCCACGTGTAAAATCAACTTGGTGGCACAATCGCACGCGCAGTGCACATCCCCAGGGGGGCGGATAAGTTCGGGGGCGGAGATCTTCATTCTTAGAACAGAGAGTTCACTTTGTGCAATCCACGTGGCGCAATATATGCAGTGCAGTTAGTTTTTGTTCGCAGTGAGTTGCAGGCGCCTCTGCTCGAGCAATAATCCCGCCCACCCGCCCGCAATGTGGCTTGCGAAAACCATGCGGCGGCGATCGCTATGACTGTTCGGCGCTGGCTCGCGCGTCGCTGCGGCCGCGCTAGCCCGCGCATGCTCGCGCGCGCAGAGCGGCCAGCTAGTCTGGCGCGACAGACGCGGCCGCGGTGGCGCTGACCGCCGGGGATTCCCCATCCCGCCCCGCAGGCCGCGCCGACGCGCGGGCACTTCAGTGCGAGTCGGTGGCTCGGGCGGGCGCGGTGTCACGGCGGCATCGATAACGGCAGACACGATGATGATAGTGGCGTTTTTGGTGATGAGGATGACGATGACGATGACAAAAGCAATGACGGCGCCGATGATGATCGCGCCGATAACGATGATGGCGCCCACGCGTCGGCGATGAAGCTTTCGACGGAATTCGACGTGCGCGCGCGGCCCACGGGCGCGAATGGCGCGCCAGCGCGCGCGCACGGGCGTTTGAATGGTTTCGACATACTCGCGCTGGAAGCCTGCTTGGTCGCATGTGACGAAAATCTTGAACATCGAAAGGTTGCTGTAAGGATTCGCAACGACGCGCGCAGTTTTTTAAGTTCATGTTGCGACACAGCTTTTGTGTGTTCATCTGATCTCGGCGACCTCGATTTCACCCTGTGTTTTTGTAAGAAGATTTCGGCATGCAGGCGCGCGACGCCGCGCGCGTGGACTTTGTTTGGTTTTTTGTTGAATAGAGTTCGGGCCCCAGCAAGTGCGCGCGCGGGCGTTCAAATGATTTCGACACACGCGCGCGAAAGGCCCGGTTCGTCGCAGTGGGTGGACATGTTGAAAACATACGATTCGCGTAAGAATTCGCGTGCTCGCATATTTCTTTAACCAGGTTGCAGAACCATTGAATTTGTTATAGTTTTTCGGGGCAGTCGGTTCCTACGAAAACTACGGTTTGCAATTAGTTGTGGCATGCGCGCGCGACGCCCCGCGCGCGCGTGGAGGTTGTTCCATTTTCTTGCAAGGATTGTTTGGAAGTTCATGGTTGTGATAAACGAGTACGCGCGTGCACTATGATTGGACGAGGATGAGGGGGGGAGGGGGGGCGGCGACACCCACTGGGACGGCATGGTATGAGCTCGTTTTGAAATCAGCGAAGGGGCAGATTCGTGCGCAGATTGTATTACCCCGTGGGGAAGGGGGAGTCAGGGGGGGGGGTATATGCATATGTTTTAGAAGGGGAAGTACATACATACCTTGCCTCCCTCCCTCCTCCCTCCCTCCCTCCCTTCCTCCTCTCTCTCTCGCTCCCTCTCTTGTTCTTTCTTCTTCTTTATGTATTTCTCTCTCGTTCTCTAGTATGTGCCCTGCTCAGACCCTGATGTTGCAACCCGCCCGACGCCAAAGCTACATGAGGTGTTCCAGCCCAGCCACCGCTCGCTCTTTGCCATGTTTCCCCGAAAGGCGACCCCTGGGATCGACCCACCCAGAGGGGCCACTCGCATTGGGATCGCAGGAGAGAAGAATGAGGACCAGGATGAGGAGCGGAAGGAGGCGGAGGAGGAGGAGGACTGAGGATGATGGATAATGGGGATGAAGATTTGAGGGGGATCAGCACGGAGGAGGAGGGGGGAGGAGAAGGCGGTAACAAATGAGGGAGGAGGAAGCAGTGAGGAGGAGGACCAGGAGGCGACCGAGAAGGAGGAGGGATGACCACAGTAGAGCAGCACAAGTCATTGAAGCTGCGGGAAAGCCTCCTGTCCCAAGCCCCATCCTTGCAAGTCGATGCGAGTACGCATAGGAAGCGCTCGCCAGAAAGGCGAGGGTCACCTTGGCCCTCGTGTCTCGCCGTCGGTTCTGGTCCATCACGCTTCGGCGCGACAAGCCAAGTGTGTCCCAGTCCCGAAGCTTCACAGGTCCAAGCTTTTCCCAGCCTCCCCTCCCACGGGGCAGAGCAACGCCCAGCAGTGAGCGAGGGGGGGAAATGAGAAGGAGAAGGCCTTCTCAGAAGGTTCGGAAGCCCCCTGGTCTTCTGAGATGTTTTCGAAGCTTTCCCCGAAGACAGAACAACACTTCTCAGAAGTCGCGAGGGCTTCTGAGAAGCCCGGCCGCCTTCTGAGCAGGCCTCCTCTTTCTCACTTCCCCCCCTCGCTCGCCGCCGAAACGCGTTATCGGCCTGCAGGGTATAGCGTATCGCAGGGGCCGCCGCCGCGACACGCCAAGCGCTAAGCAAGGGTTCCTCACCATAGGACCAGAGGGGTGAGATCCCTGTCGGGCTTGCCTTGCGCATCAGCACTCGGACTGGGGTCCGACTGCACAGCACGGCAAGGGAAGCACAGTCAACCCGCATAGTGAAGATGGGCAACCTTCCCAAGGGTACCCTTGCATCCTTGCCCCTTCGCTAGCGACTTTCGCTGGCCAACCTCGCTCGAAAAACGTTAACATGGGCCTCCAAGGCCCTTGCCTCATTACCGCGCATCCTTATGATACGGGTTGGCTGCGGTGGGCTGGAGAGTGAAGATTTTTGGAAGCGGCGCTGCGGCGAGCGCACGAGGTTGGTGAGAGGCCGCCATCGATCCGTTCAGAAGCTGGAGGTCCCCAGCTGCCATGACATGACAGGTACAGCCGACCCGCATGGTAAGGATGGACAACCTTCCCAAGGGTACCCTTGCATCCTTACCTCCTCGGTCCATCATTGGCCACTTTCGTTGGCCGCGCCCCGCTCGAAAAGCTTCGAAATTGGCGTCCAAGGCCCTTGCATCCTTATCGCGCATCCGTATGACACGGGCCGACTCCAGTCGCAGGCAACAGCACGACGCTTGGGAAGATCGGCTCTCCATCCGCGTCATTGCCGGCAGGTGTTCATTATCTCTATCTCTCCCTCTCTCTGTCTTTCTGGCCCTTCGCTCTTTCTTTCTCTCTCTCTCTCTCTCTCTTTCTCCATCTCTTCCCCCCTCTCTTTCTCTCTGTCTCTTTATCTCCCTTTCCCTCTCGCTGCCCGCCGCAGCCATGGCGTAATTAGCCTCGCCGCCCGACGGGCCGCGGAACCCGCGAGCTGCAATGGCCGCGGAGCCAGCGAGGCCGGGAGAGAAGCGAAGGGCAGGCACCCGGACGTTTCGTGGGGGGGGGCGATGAAGACGGGGGGAATGCGGTTTGCAGGAAAGGGGCCCTGAAGGACGCCGACGGTGCACGAACGGTGCGCTTTTCTTTACCCCCCCATCATCGCCCCCCCAATGGAGCAACGCTTCGGACGGGAAGGTGGAGGAGGACAGCTTGATCCGAAGCCACCGAGCCATCGGTACATTTCCCCGCGCGTGCTCGTCAGCGATTGTCGCGGCGGCGCGGCTACGTGGCGTTTCGGCACGATTGAGGATTTTCAGACCGTTGTCTTCTAACGGAGCGTTCCACGCAGTGAAAACAAATATTTAGAAGAAGTTACGAAAAGGAAATTCGGAGGGAGGGTTGATTGCAAGATCGTTGATGCATCTCGGGTTTACACTGGTCCTCCTCCGCCTTTCCTCAGACAATGAAGCGCTGAAGGCGCTAGGCTCGTACGGACGCCGACATCCTCCTCCACCGGCTCCTCCAGCGGGCACGACTGTCGGCAATGGTCGACGCTCAGCAGCCACCCACTAGTGGGACGATGTGGACAGTCCTCCCAGAGCAGTACTCAGTACTCAGTGCTCAGTACTTCTCCTCCCCCCTCCTCTTTATCCCACTTCCTCCTCCTCCTCCTCTTCCTCCTCCTCCTCCTCCTCCTCCTCCTCCTCCTCCTCCCCCCTCCTTTTCTCTCCCTTCCTCCTCCTCCTCCTCCTCCACCTCCTCCTCCTCCTCCTCCTCCTCCTCCTCCTCCTCCTCCTCCCCCGTCCTCGTTCTCCCCCTTCCTCGTCCTCCTCCTCCTCCTCCTCCTGCTCCTCCTCCTCCTACTCCTCCTCCTGATCCTCCTCGTCTTCCTCCTCTCCTCCTCCTCCTCCTCCCGCCTCCTCCTCCTCATCCTCGTCCTCCTTCTCCTGCTCCTCCTCCTCCTCCTCCTCCTCCTCCTCCTCCTCCTCCTCCTCCTCCTCCTCCTCCTCCTCCTCCTCCTCTTCCTCCCCCCTCTCGCCTCCGTGTGGGGGACGGAGCGGAGCTGAATCAGGGATCTTGTGGTGCGGAGCTTGCCTGGTCAATTCGTGGTGCTTCGCGCTTCCCAGCCGGGTTCATTAGCTTCACAGCGTCACTGAATAATTGCCCGACTTTCCGCTCCGGTCCGTAGGCCAAATTCTGCGTTTTAGGTCGGGCCCAAAGGGGCTCACACTTTCCCGGGAATGCCAGTCCATCCTCTGACTCCGTTGCCCCGGGCGGTTTGGAGGGGCCATTTTGAATGATTTGTTATGCGGTGCGTGAGGCATAGCATGACGGTGATATCATTCGGCGGGCCAGTCATCGGTGATTTTCCAGAGGGCCCCAGAGGCTTGTTCAAGTCACCAGCCTGACCAGCGACACTGCTGGGTATAGAAATCAACAGAAGTGTCGCATAGCTGGCAAAGCATTCGTTAGCAGCAGATATACCATACTGGCAGCGAAAATTGCCCAGTCCTTCACTATGTTCGGCAACACTTTGTCGTGCAGTGCGCTCTCGGGGGAATCCGGTGCGACCCAACGCCTGCATGAACCTGGGGGCGGAGAGCCACTCAAATGCGGTGCGACCCTGCGCCTGCATGCAAGTGGCTCTCCATGTAGGTGTCTGCTGCTCTTTGGCTCAAGTGAGAGGTGGAAGAAACATCTCCCTCCTCCTCTTTTCATGGTAGCCCGCGGCGGCCGCACATCCCTTGGAGGCCGCAGCCTGACTTCCATCACTCACTCCTGGGAGTGCCGGCTGGCCGAGGCAGCCGACTATCTTCTCAGGGCGGCCTTCGGGGTCCCACCCAGGCCTCACTGGGGCCCACTCTGGCTTCTGCCGGCCTCCAGGGCCGAGTTGATCACCTACCTCACTGCAGTCGCCGAGAGCGCTTCGGAGAGCGACGTAGAGAGCGAGTTGACCGAGTAGTGGTGTAGAGTGGGCCTTTAGACGATTGCGGTTACAGGCCAATCGAGATCGGCCTTTCGGGAACCTCCTTGCGTACTCCCTCATGGGTGGCACTCCAGAGCTGCCCACAAGGTTTACGAGGGCCAAGCCTTTCATGGATGCTGGACCGCGTGGTGTGCAAACCAATGAAAACCATGAAAATACACCACAAATATTCCAAACATACATTTGAACAGATCAACATAGAATAGTCAAATAATACATTAAACTGTGTTGAAACAACTTTTGGGGAATAGAACACAGAGCTGGAAGTCAGAGCGGGACCGCGCGCATGGCGCTGAACACAATGAAACCGTTCCTCCGTGCCTGCGTTAACTCTTAGAAACGAGCGCGGTTGATGGAACTTGGAGCGCACGCGATTATGGCGCCGTGCGCAAGATCGGCAAACGACACCCAACCCCATCGCAGCAGTTTTGCACGTTTGTCAAGATGCCCCTCATTTGGGTTTGGGCGCATTTTGCACAAAGCTGCTCATACATTTGCTTGGATGCATTTGAAGAACTAGCACGATGCTCGTTGGCGGGCGCGCGTAGCGGCACGGGGGCGCCACAAAAATCCCGAGGTTGCGGCGGGGCGCGCGGCGCGAATGTGTCACCCGCCCCGCAAAGCTATGCAATGAAACGGTGTCGTCGCGTTCACGTCGGGGGCAGCACGTCGTCGCGCGCACGTGCGGGGCGAGGCCGCTGCCCGCGAATTGCAAAGGGCTCGCGCGGCTGATGATTCACATGGCGTGCGCTGACCGCGCGACGGCCGCGAAACCGAAGCGAGCTCAAACCCAAGCATGCCCTAACCTGAACCCGAACCTAAACCGACCCTAACCTGAACCTCTAACCTGATCCTAAACCGCGAGACCGACGCGGCCATGCGGCGACGTACACGAACCTAAACCTACGTCTTACCCAAGCGCACAAGCCTTATCTGGCCTGTACAATCCTGAACATCTACAGCTTCCGTTGCGCGAAGTCAGAAGCCGCCCTGCGGGCGCCGTCGTAATGCGCAGTCTCGGCGCGTGCGAGGCCGCTGGCGAACAAAGTGATAACACAAAAACAAAAAGCATGCCTGCACACTAAAAACAGAATTGAGCACGTCCAACTTGATAACATCAAATACAAAAAAATGCGTGGGGCATTTTGGTGGAGCTCCTCGTTGTTTCCATTGGTTTGCGCAGCGTGATGACGCTGTTGTCAATGTACTAGGAGCGTTCGGTGGCAGCGCACGAAGCCCAATTTCGCGCGTGTCAGCATTGGTTGCTATAGTATGTGAGGGCGGCTAGGTAGCATGAGCGCGCGCAGGAAAAGGGGTAGAGCTAGGAGAAGCATTCGGGTGCAATTCGGAGTAGGAATGAGGTCATGGCAAGTAGGGCATGCGTGGGAGTCAAGTTAGGAGGCCAGCTGGGAGGCAAACTAGGAGCTGGGAGGCAAACTAGCCCAGTCGAGCAAGCCAACGGGCCTCACCGACTCCCACGCCGAATCCAGTTCCTGCTTTTACTCGCGCGTCAGACGCCACCTTGGCCAACGATCGTCCACATCCTCCTCGGCGCCCCTCGTCTTAACGAGGCGTCGCAAGGCGCGCCGGCATTTGCCGGGCCGCCGACGGCGACCCGACGCCCGAAGCCCCGATAAAGGCCAAGAGCGCACAAACGTGGCGCGACGAAACCTCGGGAGGGCAGAGACGCGCTCCCAGACTGCCCCGACGGTCGCCCCAGCCGGGCCCGAAGACGGCACCGAGACGGCCCGCGCGGGCCCGCCGAGAGCCAGCGCAATCTCATTTGCGAGTGCACATGGGGTGCGCGGGGCGGCGGAGCGGGCGTCAGCCCTGCAGCGGCGCCGTCGCGGCGCCGAAGCAAGAAGGCAGTGGCGGCCGAATCCCGAGCGGCGCGCAGAGGCCCAGGGGGGGCGGCGGGGGCGGCGGCCCTGACGAGCACCATGGGGGGACAAGCGCGGGCCCACGGGCCCGCCATGGTGGCCGCGGGGCTGGCGGGCGGGCGGGTCAAAACGCCTTATCACACGAAGGGTTGTCGATGGTGTATACAACATATGGTATTTAAAACTTGTAAGTTATATATGTACATGTGCCCGTGTTTTCCAGCGTGGGCCCCACTCAGTAAGTCACTACGCTGTGGATGTTGAAAGTTAGGTGGTGCAAGCTATGTCATGCAAACATTGTGGCCGAAGCTACGCGGCGCAAGGCATGCTGTGTAATCTGTTCGATGCAAGATGTGTGGTGTAGGCAATATGGTGCAAACTATGTGGTGCAAGCTGTGAGGTGCAACTCTGCGGTGTAAGATATGCGCGTTAAGCCATATCGTGCAAGCTGTAAAGTACACAAGATGAGGCGTAAGCTACGCGGCATAAACTATATTGTGTACGAGTTTGGTTTGGTTTGTCAGCTACGCGTGTGGCTGACGAGTTTGGTTTGGTTCTCACACGAAAGAATTTCAGGAGGGAGAAAACACTCCCCAGAAAATATGGGAAACTATGGGCAGTGGGGGAAGACAAAAAACAGAAAATATGGGAAAATATGGGAAAGTATGGGGAATCCTGTTAGTTGTGTCTACTGGTTTGTGTGTCCCAGGTCCCCTTCTGAATTGTACACGCCGTGTGGCGAGAGCTATGCGGTCACGGCTGTGTGGTGCACGCCGTGTGGCGCCACGAGGCGGCCACGGGCGGGCCTCGTGCGAGACCTCGGCACGCCGACCCAGCGCACGGAGCGCCTCCGAAGAGGCGGCCGAGCCTGGACGACCCAGATCTCCACATCTCTCACCCCTCTCATTGCTTCCCAGTGGGAAGCAATGAGAAGCCCGAGGGCACCATCCAGATGCGATCGACGACGGGCCTTTTTTGTTGCGGCAAAAACGCTTTCAACAAACGCTATCACAATCGGCTGCCCAATGTGCTGCTTTTTTCCGTTTGAAAAAAAGGCTATCAAATAACATTGCAACTGTCAGATTCTGCGCGCGCTGCTCCGGCGAGACTCCAGGCTGATACCCCGCCGCAAGATCCGCGACCGTCCCAGACCCCCAGGTGCTCACAACTTCCCGCCCCCACCTCCGCGTGTCCCGAGGCCTTTGGGGGTCTCTGGAGGCCTGGCCCCGAGATCTCTTCCAGCCGTCCGAAGTCCCAGGCCCCTCGCCAGTGCCCATCCCCGCCCACCCGTGCCCATGGGGCGCTCGCGCACGATGCTGCACGACCCTTTCACAAATTTCCTGTGCTTGAGCGCTTGCACGACGCCAGCGGCGTGACGTCGGCGGCGACGGCCTTGACGGCATGGACTGAAACCTCCGACGAGCTTGTTTTCAATCCTGGGGCCCCGAGAGTTCTCGATTGCCCCCTTGGGACGGCTCTTCGTTCCTGATGCGCTCTCGACGGCCCTCGGAGCCCGAGAGAGGCCGCCCGGAAGCCGACACGAAGGAAAGACTTGCGGCATCGACCAGAGGACACGACGTCGCGGGCTTGGGACGGCGACGGCGGCGCCGACGCGGACGGCGGCGGCGGCGCCCCCCGCCGGGGGGTCAGGAAGCGCGCTCGCACCAAGGCTCCCCGGGGAGGCGCGCCGCGGGCCACCGCACCCGCAGAGGACCGCTGGGCGGAGGGGGGAGGGAGTGCCCGCCGCCCGGGCCAGGCGTTGCAGGGCGAGGAGGATCATCGGATCGGTTCGGTCGACTGCACGTCAGAGTGGCCCTTCGCCGAGCGACTCTTCGGTGCGGGCCCACTGGCGGCCCCCGATCGCCGTACGCGATGCGACAAGTGGGCGTCTGGCGCGCTTGTGCTTGGTCCCCCCGCAGCCCATGTCGCCGCGGTGTTTGTTCCGGCGCGCGGCCCTGCGTCTTGGGGAGGGCGCCGCGGGCACCAGGGCAAGCGCCGCCTCGGGCGCAGAGGACTTGCCGGGGGGTTTGCCGCGGTGCCGGCTTCGTCTGCTTGGGGCGCGGGACGCAGGGTTTGCCGTGAGTTTGCCTTGAAGTCGGCGTCGCCCACTTGGGCGCGTCGAGAACAAACGGCGCGGCGAAATATGAGAAATATTGGAAATGGAGGGGAAGAGCATTATCCCAGTGCGACCCTACCTAGGAGTTGGAGCCTCTAGGAAAGCAACATTAGTAGGAGCGGTAAACGCCGTCCTCCTCCTTCTCCTCATCGTCGTAGTTGTAGCAGTAGCGGTAGTAGTAGTAGCGGTATACATTTATATATACATATATATATGTGCATATAGCAGCAATAGTGGATGTTGTGCTGCGCTATGCTATGCTCTGCTCTGCTCTGCTCTGCTCTGCTCTGCTATACTATGCTATGCTATGCTATGCTATGCTATGCTATGCTGCGTAATGCTATGCTGGGCTAGGCTAGGCTATGCTATGATATACTATGCTATGCTATGCTGCGCTATGCTATGCTGCGCTAAGCTATGCTATGCTATGCTATGCTATGCTTTTGCTTTGCCTTCGCTTTTGCCTTCACTTTTGCCTTTGCTTTTGCTTTTGCTTGGCACCCAGGGAGCGCAACTGGGTGAACCGCGCGTTTGCTTTTACCTTTGCTGTTGCTTGTGCTTGGCTCCCAGGGGACTGGGGGAACCGCCCGGGGCGGTTTCCACTGCTCGGCCCCTTTAAGCCAGGAAAGTACGAACCCTTTTAGGCAGAGCCTAGGTATGGAAAAATCCAGGAAATATTGGAAACTATGTGGAATCCTGGACTGTGTGTCAATTTATGTATGTCTCCCTGCGATCTTTTACCCCTCCCACGCCCAGCGTTCTGGCAGGACGTGGAGGGGGGAGGAGGGGAGGGAAGCGGGTGGAGGAGGAGGGAGGTCCCAGATCTCCTACGAAATGTTTGTCCCAAGCCTCCATTGGCCTCCCGTTTTAGACAGAGCATTGCTTGCGCGAACCTTCCTCCCGCCTCCCTACTCTTGCTTCTCGCCTCCTCCTCCTGCTCCTCCTCCTCCTCCCGGTCCTCCTCCTACCTCGTCCTGCCTTTCCCTTTTCCTCCTCCTCATTCTCTTCCTCCCCCTCCTCCTCCCCCTCCTCCTCTTCATCCTCCTCCTCCTCTTCCTCCTTTTCCTCCTCCTCGCGGCTCATTATTCAGAACGGCCTGCGTCGGCGGGCCAATGCTCACCGGTTACAGCATCTATCGCTGACTTCGCGCAGAGGATGTCAGAAGAAGGTTGTGTGTTCAGAGGCCCACGTCTGCATCTGTTGCCCTGCTCGCCGTGTGCCTGTACTGCGGCGTGGGCTTCTCGTATCGCATGTTGGTGTGGTTTTGCTTCTCCTGCTCGTGTGGTGCACACGGCACGCAAGAGTGATAACGAATGGGTAAGGCAGCCGTCAGCTGTTCTGGCACGTGTGCCGAAAGGCGAATGGGGGCAAGGGGGGGGCAGCATGTGGATCCGGTGGCTACCATCACGGACGGCAGCGCCGGAGAAACAGCTCAATCAGAACTTGGAACAGGTCGCAGAGGGCTCCCAGTCAGGTCTAGCGACGGCGGCGGCTACGAACCAGGTTGGCAATGATGATATTGAGCCACATTCGGATGTTCTCCGTGCAGCACGCATCGATTTCTTGGAAAAAGGCAGTCGAGCAGTTGGCAGACGTCGACGGCTCCGAACCAGCCAAGCAGCATTTTGAGGAGCAGCCGCGCTAGGTCCGCAAGGCCCAGTGCTGGTCCAAGCTTGCACTTCAGCAGCCCACCAATGTGGCATCCCGTCTTCTGGCTGCGCAGCGCAAGCAGGCCAAAACAGCTGAGGAGGCCGCACGCCAACTCAATGTCATCGGGGTGGCCCTGAGGGTGCTGGCAGATTTGCAGGAGAAGGAGGCAGCGCTCAAGAGAGAAGCTTCAGCCTTGGAAGAAGAAGTACGGCGCTCCATGCCTAAAGCTGCAGCGGCTTCGAGCGGTGATGCGACACCCATTCATGAATTTAAGTTGCTGGTGGAGGTTCTTGAAGCGATTGCGGGTGTCAAGGAGATCGTATCTAGCCCAGCGCCAGCCTCAAGTGGATCAAAGAGGACTTTCGAGGAGACATTGGAGGCCCCAGAGGTTCAGAGCGTCAGCTGCAGCGTAGCATTCCTGACCGTCGCGACGGCTGGTGCCTCGGGGTGCGACAGGGAGGAGTTCCTTGCGACAGCAAGGAGGCCTCTCGCCGTTCGTCGTCGTTCGTCGGCAATCAGGGAGCAGCGCGGGGGGTGGAGCAGCAGGGATCTGCGGCTGGCGCCTCGACGCAGGAGGGCCTGGGATCGAGGGCCTAGGGTCGAGCGCCGAGACTCGAGGGCCGAGGAGTGGAGATTCGAGGGTCGTGAGCGGAGGTTCCAGAGCGGAGGTTCAATGCTCAAGCACTGAGCTTCGAGGATCGAGGCTCAAGGATCGAGGCTCAAGGATGGAGCTTCGAGGGCGTATATAGTTCGAGGACAAGGATCTTGGGATATGCTGGACGTTCTGGGTCCTTCCTCGGGCTCACAGGGGCCTCCGCAGGAAAGAGTCGCCCTTCCAGTGGACGCCCTTGGGGAGGAAGGGAAAATGGGGGAGCAGACAGAGCAGGGATTTCACGCGCCTCTCGACCCCTACTTTGAGGGGCGCGGCGGGGGGGGGGAGGGCGTATGCACTTCGGACGGGCACCACCTTAGCTGCCCTGTTACGCCCGTATTGGAATGCAACACGTACCGTGTTCAAAACGTCTGTCTTAACACGCTGCGTGTTGGTTCGGCACGTGCTGGCCCACGTTTAGGCGAACGCATCGCGCCGCATCTACGTGCAAAGTCTACGTTTTGAGATCCGTGTCAGCACGCTACGTGTTGCGTGTTGCGCATCGGGGCAGCCAAGGGCACCGCTGGTGTCTGGCGTTGCCGTTGCCTCGAAGGAGGAGGAGGACGACGACGACGAGGAGGAGTAGGAGGAGGAGGAGAAGGAGGAGCAGGAGGAGGAGGAGGAGGAGGAGGAGGAGCAGGAGGAGGAGGAGGAGGAGGAGGAGGAGGAGGAGGAGGAGGGGGACGAGGAGGACGACGAGGAGGACGAGGGGGAGTGTTTTGCATGAGGCGCAGGGCAGCGAAGGAGGCGAAGGAGCAAGGGCGCGGCGGAGCCCCTGCAGCCGCGGCCAGGCCGCCGCCCCCGGCGCCGGCAAGCCTCCAGAGGAGCGCGTGGAGCCCGGCCTGGCCGCGCGGATCAAGGCGCGGCTCCAGGAGCGGACGGGGGGCCGACTCCAGCGTGGGCGTTCTCAAGTTCCTCGGGCACCCTCCCCGACCTCACCCTCCTCCTCCTCCTCCTCCTCCTGCTGCTGCTGCTGCTGCTCTTCCTGATGCTCCGCCCCGCCCTCCCCCCCTCGTGCTCCTCCCTCCCTCCCTCCCTCCCAGGAGCCTTTGACATTTGATGGCGCTGCTGGCACCGACATGGAATCGAAGAAGGCCGCGCCATAAAACATAAACTTTCGGCGCGCTGGCGCGCGGGGCGCGCCAGGGAGGGGGCTTAGCGCAGATCCAAGAAATCCGCGCGGAGCGCCAAACGTTTATGTTTATGCCGTTTTCTCTTCTTCTACTGAAGCGCGCAGGGCTGCGAACATGGCTTCTTTGGATCGCATTCTTCTGCGGCCGAGGTTGTTGTACCTCGCTCGCCTCCTGAGGTCCGACCGCAGAGCGTTGCAGGCACAACTGTCGCAGGGACTGAGTGCTTGTTTTGTCCCCTCCGCTGAGTCCCCGCGAGCAAAAAAGATAGGGGGCCTATAGCGCGCCCTTGAAGCGGCAGGGCCGTGTTTCACAGGTTCCGTTTTGCTGTTTCTTGTGGCTCGTTCTGGCGCCGTCTCTTTTCCCGGTTCCGCTGCCTTTTTTGTAAGCGGTTACCGTGCCAGTTCCAATTTTGGGGCAGTTTTTCCCGTTTCCGGTAGCGGTTACATCCGTAAGGGCTTCGCCGCTAGCCGCCGGCCCCCGAAATGTCCGAGGTATGCTGGGACGTGCCACGTGGGGCTTCCTGGGGGCCCCTCGGGGCCGAGGGCTCGAAATGTTTGTTCGAGTCCCCATCTGGGCCCCCTCTTGGAGCCCTCTTTGGGGCTTCTTTGGCCGTCTTGGGCGCCACTTAGGCCGTCCTGGGGCCCTCGGGCCGTTTTGGGGGCCTCTTGGAGGCCTCTTGGGCCGTCATGGGGCGATCTTGGGGGCCTCTTGGGCTGTCTTGGAGCGTCGGGAAGCCAAAAAGACGGAAACGCCAAAAACCTTCAAGCACCTAAGGAACATCAATACTTGTTGCCGTCTGAGATCCTGTTGGGGGGCCTCTTGGAGCGTCTCGGAGGTCTCTTGGGCCGTCTGGGGGCCATCTTGGGCGTCTCGGAACGATCGCTCGTCGACCCATAGCCTTCTTGGACCGCCTTGGACGCCTCTTGGGGCCCTCTTGGTCCGTCTTTTGGCCCTCTTGGGTCCGAAACACCTCTGCGACAAGCCGCGGGGAAGCCCCAGGGAACCAGGGGGAAGCCAAGGAGATGTGTGAATCTAGGGTCCGGGCCTCTTTAAGACTCCTCAGGAATGAGGATTGAGGCTTAGAGGATTAGGCAAAGGACCTGACGGCACGCCCACTCCGTGCCCAGAGACACGGTGGCGGATATGATCTGAGCTTCCCCAGGGGTGAACCCTGAGCCCAGTCTATCGCCTCTCCTACCCACGCAGTCTTCCCTTGCCGCTCTGTCCGTTCCCGTGCTAGTGCTGCTCTCACCCGCTCGCTCGTCGGTGTTGTGGCTCAGGCAGGTTTTTTTGACTTCTTTTTTCTCGTTGAGCCGCCCACTGGCTGGTGGGCCCAGCCCGCAGGTAGCTGAAGCTCTGTTCCACTGGTGTCAGAAGAAGAGCTGTTCAACCAGAGTGGTTTCGACGACAGAAAATGCAAGTCGTGGCGGCATGGACACACACACACACTGGCTGATTGCTCCCAGAGTGGCTTCCAGATTGGCGTCGAAATGGGAGGTACAGTCAAACCGCATAGTAATGATGAACAACTTTCCAAGGTTACCTTTGCATCCTTCCGCTTCGGCCCGTCCTTGGCCGCTTTCGCTGGCCGCGCCCCGCTCGCAGAGTGCCGACTTGGCCTTCCGAGGCACTTGTATCCTTTTATCGTGCTGCCTACTTCTACGGTTTGGTTGCACATGGGCAAGCAGACGCAGACTAGTCCTGACAAGCAGACCACGACTGTGCCTGAAGAGGAGAAGGAGGAGGAGAAGGAGGAGGATGAGGGAGGAGGAGGAGGAGAGGAAGGAGGAGGAGGAGGAGGAGTCCAGGAGGAGCGAGCGAGCGAGCAGAAGCCGAGGGGCAGTGGGATCCGAGCAGAGAGGATGCAGGCACACACCACAACCCCCCGCCCCAGCACCTACACGGTGGAGCCCGAAGGCCAGGACCACCTTGCAAGCACCAGGGAGGGGAGCGAGAAGCATGCCTACCCCGCAGCATGCCCCGCGGGCGGCCAGAGTGCACGGGGCCTGCGGCAGGCCCGTGCTCACCTGCACGAAGCCCGCCGCGGCGGAGAAGAGCACCCACAGGGCTCCCAGCGCCACGAGCGGGGAGCCGGCGCACACGTGGTGCAGCACGAGGTCCACGTCGCAGAAGAACACGTGGAAAGAGAGCCAGGCGCGGTCATGCATCACCACGCTCGAGCCGCACGGCAAAACAGGCCAGGCGCGCCCGCCGCATGGAGGGCCCAAGAGCCAGCCGTGCTGCAACCCGAGGCCCTCGGACGGACGTCGCCCCTCGGCGCGCCCGCCGCCTGGAGGGTCCAAGAGCCAGCGCTGCAACCCAAGGCCCTCGGACGGACGTCGCCAAACGCCGCGACGAGTTAGTATAATTCGGAAGCCGGGCAAGGGCTGCTAAATCCGTGGCTGCTAAAATCGACCTCCGGGAAGTTGTCCTCGTCCTTCCGGGAAGAAGCCCGTTGACTGTCTCGCGTGTCGCGCCTCATTCCGGGAAGTTGTTTGTTCCTTCCGGGAGGGCCGTTTTAGCAGCCACGGTTTTAGCAGCCCTCGCCCAGTTTCCTAATAATGCCTGGGCATGGCCAAACCGAGCCTAGCCATGGCAAGAAGATAACGAACGAGCTGAGGAGGCCCGCGAGGATCAAACACCACATCCGGCCCTCATTCAGCACTGAAAGTCGCCCATGGGGAGCACTCTCCCACTGTGGGCTGTCACTCCGACTCCTGGATTTCGTCAGCATCCTCGGCGACCCGTCATACCATGTCTGGGTCCACATCGTCATCGCTGTTTGACTCGTGTGGAGCACCCAACTCCAAAGCTTCAGGGTATAAGAGACCATGATCTTTCAAAATCAAACTGGTGTCCAGATATCGCTGGGGTTCAGCTCGGACTTTGCCTTTGGGCCTATGGTCGACCTCAGGCATGTCACTCAGCGGGTCACGCCAACCTTTTGACTTGCACACCAGGGCTCGGACTCTGGCGGAAGGCCTCCGAGCGTCCATAAGAGAAATATCTGTATGCAGCGACTGTGGATGTCTAAGATTGCTGAAGTGCCTCATGTTCTCCGCAATCCTGCCGTTGCCACTTTCTCTGCCGCAACAAACGCTGTCTAGCCCCCGATGGTTGAGGCTGCCCGTATCAGAGTACTTGCAGCAACTGGTACAGAAGATCAGCGAGCGGTCGTGTCCAACCACTGGGTACTCCAGCAAAGCATGCTTCTGCACCAACCAGGGCCACGGCAAAAGAGGCTCCTTCGCCGCCGCCTGCTGCTGAGGAGTGGCCAGATCATCCTCCTGAGGCTCAGGAGAAAGATAATCTTTGAAATCGTCACCCTGCTCGTGGAACCACACCTCGAACTGGGCAGTGTAACACAGCAGCATCTTGTGGAGGCGCATGGCGCCACGAACGAATCGCTCCTGAACATCCGAAGCTCGATGGAAGGAGGCCCCAGCCTGGGCCAACTCATCAGCCTCCGCATTTTCAGCCCGATCGAACTGGCTGGTGACTCCTTCCCTGGCGTCTGCCATACTCGTGTGCGCCTTTACGTGCGAAACGGGAGCGCGGCAGAAATCGTCGTTCATCTTAGTGCGCTTCGACAAGTGTGCTCTCAGGTTGCCTGGCCCGCTTGCCGCCTCAAGTCTGTGACAGCAAACAACCGAGCCCTTGCAATCTGACTTGACTTGATAAGAGCCCATGGCCAGCTGGCTAGCCTTCATGAGCGCATAGTCCTCGCCGTCGCGGGCCACTTGACTGGGCCCTTCACACCGTGGGACGGCGCCGTGGTATCGTGCAACTCTGCGCCGCTCAGCATCATAAACCGTGACGGCCCAGCCTGTTGAACGCAACTCAGGCACACGAGTCGAGAAGGCGCTGCCGTCCACAAACACACATCCGCCATTTACATACGTGATCCCACGTCGATCCACATCAACCATATCGTGCTGACTGGAACGGCCCGCACCATGGAATACTTGCCCTGGGTGTGGAAGAAGTCCGCGCGCGAATCGATCCTGTCTATCTTCAGGTTCACTAAGCATCCTCTGCGCTGCCCTCTGAACCTCCAAAGGGATGAGCAGTCGCCTCTGAGCCGCAAAGGCGTCACACACGAAGAAACGATGGAACAGCGTGCCAGGCGCCGACTGGCACCTGGTACATAGTGACGAGTGTCCAGCAAAGGCACGAGCAATCCTGACCTGCGTCCAGTGGCCGCCAGTAATCACACCGCGAAGTGATCGACGCTGATGAGGCCAGAGTCGCTTGCCGTGGAGCGCCTCTGATATCGGCTGCCAAGAGATCGGGCCCGTCCTGGTTGAGCCCGCACCCTGCATAGCAGCAAGCGCGCCACGGTCAATCTGCCTCCGCACTCCCAACTTCACAATGTGAGATATCCAGCTGGCCGAATCGAACTTCAGATCCCAAGAGAAACCTTCATCATCAAGAAGAGTGAACGGGTCCAGCAGCTTCCAACAGATCTTGTAAAAGGCTGAGCGTCAACGCAACAATGGGGTTCTTGCATGTCAGCCAGGCCTGCGGATCCCCAACAATGGGAGCGCCGAAACCATCAGCGCCGAGACCAGAGAAGAAGTAATCGTCCCAGTGGACATGATCACAAGGTAAGTGTGTACGGCATCTGACGTGGCAATAACTAAAGGATCATTGTGCCATCCGTTCTCTGCGCACATAAGCGAGAGGCCCACCGACGAACCAGGCTTGAACCGAGCACCCGCGTTTAAGAAGGACATCCTGAGCTGCTGGATCTTGCTATTGGGCACCCCTGCGATGGAGCATCCCCGCAGCGCCTTTGAGAGGGCACCCGAGCGGTGGACAGCTGAGCGTTGCCTACCAAGACCTTTGAGAGCCAAGAGCCTGTCCCCTTTTGCCATTGCATTTCGAATGCGAGTGAGCTGTGTGCCCATGCGCCTATAACGCCCATCAACAGCATCACCCCCGAGGTCCCGATGATATTGGCCCCGTCCTGGGAAGGGAACTCCAGCAGGCCATTAATCGGCGACATCGTCCTCGATCAGGCTGAAAGTCTCAGCGTCACGGCACAACAAGCCCATCTTGTCCCACGAAAGCGGCAGCCCTCGGGCCTGGAGCAGGCCCACCGTCTCCTTGAAAACGAAACTGAGCTCCCCGGCAACCGTCTGCGGGCCCACGACCGAGAGTAGATTGATATCGTCGATCAAGTTTTTAATCCTGAGCGAGCTGCACCGAACCCCCACGCGTCGAAGGACCGTCACCGTCATGTGCTTCGCTAACCCCGCGGCGCACGAACAGCCTGCGACGACTGCCCCGCTGGCGAAAATCTCGTGGGAGGTCGAGTTCTGGTAGGGGGCCCTCCTGGGCCCTCTATACAAAGCGCAAAGCGGCTTCAGAAGATTCACAGGGAAACCAGTGTCCCGAGCTGCGCACAACAACTCCGCGTGCGACGCCATTTCGTAAAACTTCCTGAGGTCTATAAACGCACTAGCGCTAACAAAATTAACCTCCGGGGCTGCGCTGGGAAGCACATTGTGGATCCACGCCGACTTGTCGCACGAGGTCTCCGAGGGCCCTCCCCAGAAAAAAGGAGTCTGGTAGGGTAGCTTCCCATTGGGCGACCGCGCGGTGCCTGAGGCGGGACCACGGACGGGCGAAGAAGGGGGGCAGGCCGATAGGCCTAACCCCTCCCGTAACCTTCGGAAGAAACACTATAAGGGTCAGCCAAACGTCTGCGAGCTCGGGATTCTTTTCCCAGGCGAGGAGGAGAAGCGTAAGGGTCGAGACGAGGACAGACGGAAGTCTTTCAACCCACCTCGGATGGAAGCAATCCCAGCCCAGCGCCGTCTTGCTCTTAAAAGAGCTGAGCACCGCCTTCACATCGTCGGCCGTGAACGGAGGCAGGGGCTCGGCATGGGTTACATCCCAATCCAAGGGGTGGGGCTCATCAGACCTGGCAGCAACGACCCAAAGACTAGACCACTCTTCTAACATTTCTTGCAGGGCTTCGTGCCCGACAACAGACAAACCTTGGGCCAGGTCCGCGGCCGTGGCCTCTTTAGGGCCCTTGGAGAACCGGTGGGCCAAGCTGGCCCCGTTGGAAAAAGCCAGCTCCGAATATTATTTCCAAGCCTGCTTGGCGGCGGCTGCATCGGCTGCAGTGTGCGACATCACCTGGTCCTGGAGACATTTACAGACCTGGGCACGCTTGTCGGGATCTTTCAAACCTGTCAGGAAGCCACCGAGCGAATTCACAGAGATGCCGTCCTCCCCCACCCACTCCGAACCATCCCAAACCTCCGAATAATCTGATAACATGCGCACAGCACTAGATTGCTGGGCTAGCTGGGGCTCGGATTCTTTACCTTCCGCTCTCAGCCACTGCATGGTGAGACGTCTAACGGAAAGCCAGCGCTGGGTGGTGGGGCTCGCTTTTCGGCGGAGGCTCTTACCCCATTTACAGGCCAAGGGAACTTTCTCGAGCCTGCATCCAGCAGAGCGACCGCAAAACCTCGGTCTCTCGGCGACGGGGATGGCCAAAAAGAGGCTGAGGTAGAGTTCTGCCGAGGAGAACCACCTGCGAGCAAGGCTGTCGAGATATTCATTTTCCTCCAGCTCAAAGCCTGGCCAAGTTGACACGTCGCCAGGCACGAAAGGGTTGCCCTGAGGATGGCATCAACAACTTCTCCTTCTGCACTCTACGGTACGCGAAGTTGGAACCGCCGAGCCCAGACAGACGCAGCACCACGGCCCTGTGAGGGCCCACAGGAGTGTCGTCGATCACACCCGCGCTCCTGATGAAGGGAAGCAGGATGTCGCTGACGATGTAGCAATCGTAGTGCGAGTCGTTGCAAGTTGGTCGCCCTCCGTGGACGAGCTCAGCATGTAAGTGTCCTAAGAAACCAGCCCGAAGAAAGGCATCGCGCCCAAAGCATTCATAATCCACATTCCAGTCACCAGCCACCACAAATGGGAGACAGGACTCGCGCAAGATCTGAACAAGAGACGCGAAGAGCTCCAGGTTACCTGACTGGCCACCGCTGGTGATGCCATATACAGAAACGAACAATATCTGCATGCTGCCAACCACCGTACGCTGAAAAAACAAGCGCGACTTAGCGTACTCCCCATTTGGCTGATAGGGGACGCTCGGTAAGTTACTGAGGCTGAGAACTCCAACGCCGCCCGAGGTAGATGTTGCCGTGCTTCCAGTGATGTGGCAGCCGTTGGCAAGAAACCGGTAACCTCGAGCATGAGCCCAACTCTGCGCACTCTTTAATTGATCACCTCCCCGAAGGCGATGTTCTTGCACATGTAATAGATCAGGTTGCAATTGTTTGTCAAACACCAGCCATTCCAGGAAAGTCTGAAAGGTAGCCCACGTGTTCCCGTTGTAAGTGACGAGCGTGAACTCTGACTGATGCGTATGTGTTGAAGGAGCCTCGAAGTCTGCTGCCCATCGAAGTGCTCGAGCAGCATATCGAGCCGAACTCGTAGCCTGCGACGACCACGGTGCAACTGACTCATCACCAAGCACTCCGAAAGAAGAAGGCGCAGCGGTGCTGGGGTCTCGATGTCCTGCTGGTGGAAGTTGCACAGCTGTAACTCTGAGTAGCCAGGAAAGCTTTGGCCACCATACGGCCACCATGCTTGCAGGCGCGAGAACGGACCCAGGCACTGTGAGGCTTGTGTCCTGGCTGACAATTTGTTCGATCCTTGCCTGGCACATTGATGACGTAGTTGCCGATGAAGGTGCCTCCGATAATCATGCCGCTGTCCAGCATGCGGGGGCAATCAATAATTAGGGTCATGAAGACGCCGAGGGAGGAATCCGCCTGCTGCCAATAGCTTTGCCTGGGCACGTAGATCTCCCTCTTCGGCATTCGTCGGGGCCAGCTCACCGAGGTCAGCGCGAAGGTCCTCCAGCTCCATGTCCTCGAACTGCCAAGCAGGTTTCTCTTCGCTGCCCGCGACGCCAGCTGCCTGGACACGAGGCTTCTTCTCAGGCGGCCCCTCCAGGAACTCGGCAGCACGAGACTTGAGCGCCTCCGCCAACATAGGTGCCAACGCCTCCGCGTCGGCGACGCCAGCCATGCTGCGCAGCTCGGCCAGCAGCTTGGACTCGTCGACCTTGGGATCTGGCCCCGCGAGGCCCATGGCCTGGGGCGCTGGAGCAGGCTCCTGAGACGACAGCGAGCGCAGCTCCTGGTCCAGGTCCTCGACCGCCTTCTTGCGCTCGACCACCAACGTGTTGGCAGCAGCTGCGGCCTCCTGGGCCTTGACCACAGCCTTGTCTGCCTCCCTCTTTTCCTGCTCAGCCTTCTGCAACTTGCTACGGGCTTGCTCAGCTCGGCGTGAAAGTGCAGCAAGCTTCGCTGGAAGGGACTTGTTTTCATATAGCTTCCGACGAGCTGCCTCAAGTTGCACGCGTGCTTGTTGAAGTGGCTGAGATGTCCATCCCTGCCGAAGAGACTCCAACCATTGCACATGCTTGACCAGCCCATCGATCTCTTCACGAAGCTCATCTGACTCGTTAGACTCATGCTCAGGCTCAGCAAGTCCTTCACCCCTCTTGAGCCGCACGTTCTCGGCCTCCAGGAGTTGCAGACGCTTCTCCATCTTGGCCAAGGCTGACGCGGAGCCTGAGTCAGGCCCAGCTCCTTGGTCAGCACGACGTTCGTTACGGCTCGGAAGATCTGCGGGCACATTGCACTTGAAGCGCGCTCCTTTGTGCAACTTACACTTGTAACACTTCTCATTGATACCATAATTGATAAGAGGAGCCCCAGTGCGACGAAACGTACAGAACTTGCACATCCAATCTGCCTTGGGCTGCTCCTTTGACCACGGCGCAGGCGTCATGGCGTCGTCTTGATGAGGGAATGGGCCGCCAGAGAGCCCCTGCGGTGCTGGCTAAAGAAACGTCGAGCGAAAACGCTCTGGCACTGCCGCGGACTAGCGGTATCCAGTCTTGCCTATGCGGGCTCAGCCCGCCAAAGCATCAGTCTTGAGCCAAAATGGCTACGGAGTCCAGGAGGAGGAGGAGGACTATGGGATTTGTTGCCAGCTTGTGCAGTGCGGCCAGCATGCGACTGCGCGACGCATCGATTGCGCCTACCATGCGGGGGTGCGAGGAAGGGGCAGTGCGCAGTGAAGATGGGGAGGGGGCCGCCCCTGACTGGGTTTCCGACCGCACTGCGGCGGGAGCTTGCACGATACGGGTTGAAAGTGCCCCCGATTTTCAGCAGAGCGCCTGCCCCTCAGTTGGACAGCCACTGCATGAGGCCCCGCATCAGGTGACGGGAGGTGTTCGATGGGGGGACGGAGTCGTGTTCACCCACGACCCTGCTGTCCAGGGGGCGCGTCTGGACGCTTGCTGGGGAGGGGAGGCCGCCTGGGGCATGGTGTCGGGTATGACCCCTGGCCCGACCCCCTCGCCGACAGGACCGCCTTTACCTGGCGTGGCAGTCGGGCACTCTGAAGGGGACTCGCTGGCTGCCCCCACGTTTGGGTCGCCCTGACCCCCCCCCTCCTCTTGCATGAATTCGGAATTCTATGCATGACTTTCACCTTTTCATCTTTTGGCACGGGCTCAAACTTTTAAGCCCCAAGGAGCGAGCGAGCGAGCGAGGAGGAGGAGGCCGCTGCCGGCGCCGAGAGGAGGCCGCTGCTGGCGCCCCCGCGCCGGCGGCCCGGGCCGCCGTGGCACCGTCGCCGCCGCTGGGCGGCCAGCCAGCCGCGGGAAGACCGCCCGCGACGCCAGCTGCCGCCTCGGCGCCAGGAGGCCGGGCTCCCCGCATCCTCAGGAGCAACGTTCGGGGGGGATGGGTTCATCAGAACCCCAGAGCATCAGGGGTAACTCGGGTCAGGGCTAACTCGGGTTCGTTTTTCTGGATTCCGAGCCCGATTTACCCTGGGCCCGAGCTACCCCGGATAATTCGGGCGCCCAGACGTTGAGGGGGGGATGGGTTCAGGGTCGGCCAAACGCAGAATGGGGTGGGGGGAGGGGGGAAGGCTTCTCAGAAGGAGGCTGCTTCTTGGAAGGCGCGGGCATGATCTGTAGATGTGGGGCCGGCGCCTTCTAAGAAGCAGCCTCCTTCCAAGAAGCCTTCCCCCGTCCCCCCACCCCCCCGTGCACGCGGCCAAAGCAACTTTGAGGGGATTGGCTCAGGGTCGGGGGCGGCCAAGAGGGGGGTGATGACAAGGGGGGGTGGTGTCATGGCGGGGGGCCATGATATTTTCCCAGATTTCATGGCGCCTCTTCTGAATTCAATGCGCTCCCGGCCTCCCCCCTGGGCCGCGCACGTGCCGCTGGCCATGATTTGCGAGACAGGCGGGGATGGGCTCAGGGGACAAGCAGTGGCGAGGCGTCCTGGCTTCCCTATAGGCCCACGAAAGCATGTTCTAAGAACGTTTGGTGGCTTGCACGAGATGTTCTTTGAACGCTGGCTGAGATCGTCTTTGAACACGTCGGCTTGAACCGCAACCCGCGGAAAATGAAGCATCCTTCCCTTCACCTGTGTTTATGTTTATCCAATGGGTTAAGTGTGGTTAAAATGACAAGCCAGGCGGAGAGGACGAAGTTTATCCGTAAGGGTTTCGCCCCCTTCCGCTTGCCCCCTCTCTATCATAATGGGATATACCAGGGTCGCGTCGATGCGTCTCGGCGCTGCCTTGGCGCATCTGGGAACATCATGCGGGGGCGGATAGGAATCATCAGCGCATATTGAGATGTTGGCGTTATCCTAGTGGCATTCTGCCTATCCCGCCACAGTGTTTGGGTTGTGGGTCTGAGGCCTCTTGTATATTTGTGGGGGTGTCGTGGGGAGCTTCTCGGGGGCTTCTTGGAGGCGGTTTGAGCGCTTCTTTGGAGCCTCTTGTGGCCTCGGGGGGATCTGTTTGGGCCTCTTGGAGGCCCCTTGGGCGCCTCTTGGGGCCTCTTGGGGCCTCTTGGCGGCCTTTGGGGGCCTCCTGGCTCTCGGGGCACAAAGATCGAATATCGGTTTGTGGTCCCCTGCTTGGGCCCCCCTTGGGGCCGTCTGGGGACCCTCTTGGGCTGTCTTGAGCGTTTCTTGGGCCATCTTGGAGCCCTCTTGGGGCGGTCTTGGGAGCTTCTTGAGCAGTCTTAGAGTGTCGGAAAGCTGAAAATGCGAGAAGGCCGACATCCTTCAAAAACCGTCCTAAAATCGACGATGTTGGCTTCTTGGGGCTCTTTTGAGAGGACTCTTGGAGTGCTCTTGGGGCCCTCTTGGGGCCCTCTTTGGCCGTCTTGGCATTATATTCGGACGCCTTGGAGCACTCTTGGCCTCGACAATGCGAATACGGCGTAATTTGCGAAGGATCATGGCTTCGGGGACGCGAAGATGGCGTACATTACCAGGGTTTGTTGCCTCGCTCATGTATTTGTATGTGTCCCACGCCCCCCCGGGAATTCAGAGCACGCGATCCGGGCGTGGCAAATTGGGTGGTTAGGGGTTCTCCCCCCTTCGCGCGGACTTACACAATTTACAGTAGGAAGCAGAGAGCAGGATTCTAACATTGGAGACTTGAACTTGCAACTGGTGCAGTGAGCAGCACACTTCGGCCTACAGCCGGATGGCCCCACAAGGAGGCCGGCGGATTATCTCCCCCAAAGTGGCCGGCGGATCATTTGCCCCAAAGTTCCAATCGTAGCTCTGATCTTCCTCCCATGCATAGCACCATGAATAATCATGATCATCATTGTTGTGAGGATGTCTCAGGCGAAACTCAGAGCTTCGAAGATGCAGCGAATTCGCTACTATCAGTTTGTTTGAATATCCAAACATCATAACCTCGATACCTCCGGGAGCAATTTTATTTATTATCCCCCCTGGACCCCGAACTTTGTTATCCTCAGGAGATAACTATCACTGGTGTCTGGTTATGTCGAAAGAACAGCGTTTATGTTTTTAGAGCTTTTTTTGTTCTAGGAGTATTTCGTGGTAGGCCTCTCGGAATGCCGAACAACGGGGGGGATGCATCAAATGCCAATCGCCCATTGATCGCCGAGGATTTGCAAGCGGAGCATGTCGCCGATACATCGGCGACGCATCGCCGATTCCAGATGGATGTGACCCCCCCTGAGCTGGTCTCCCCCTACCGTTGCCCCTCAATCTGGCTCGCTGCGCCCGTCCTTCAGTTCTCCAACGCATTCTCCACTGCGTGAACTTGTCTGGCAGAGCCTGGGTGTATCGACCCCAATGGCGATTTCACTGTGGATCGTCCCATCGATCTGCCTCTATCTCTGTGTCCCTATCGATTTCCGTCAATCGATGTATCACCCTTCATCGATGGAATTGTCGCTTTCATCCGATCAATATCACAGTCGGTCCCGTGGCCGGTGATGGTGATATTGAAAACAGTTTGGCGTATCGGGTTCTCTGCGATCCTACCCCCGACGTCTCACAATGGATGAATATGGACACCACTAGGACAGCATCTAGACACCAACCGACACGCCACCAGGACACCATCAGAACATCAACCAGGACACCAATCGGGACACCGACGGGACACCGACGGAGCAACGCCGGGACACCGACGGGACACCGACGGGACACCGACGGAAAACCAACGGGGCACCGATGGGACATCGACTGGACACCGACGAGACCCCGACGGGACACCGACGGGACACCGACGGGACACTGACGGGACACCGACGGGACACCGACGGGACATTTGGCGCATCGGGTTCTTTTTGATCTCACCCCCGAAGTCTCACTATCTATCTCGGTAGCGATGGTGGAACCCACCTTCACACGATGGGGAGACCACTGGGGCGCCCTCGGTACACCACCAGGGCACCATACAGACACCACACGCACTTATTGGGACATCGACGGGGCACCATCAGGACACCACCAGGACACCATCAGGTCACCAATCGGGACACCAATCGGTACACCGACGGGACACCGACGGGACACCGACGGAACAACGGCGGGACACCGACGGCACACCGACGGGACACCGACGGGACACCGACGCGACACCGACGCGACACCGAACCGACGGGACACTGAAGGAAAACCAACGGGGCACCCACGGGACACCCACCGACGGGACACCGACGGGGCACCGACTGGAAACCAAGGGACGCAGACGAGACACCGACGGGATAGCGACGGGACACCAACGGGACAGCGACGGGACAGCGACAGGACACTACTGTGGGCCGCCCGCCCACTGCGGGAGGTTCGGACCTAACAGCAGCGGAGTCATTCCCCTCGCCCGCCCTCCTTCTCCTCCTCCTCCTGCTCATGCTGCCTGCCTCGTCCCTCAGACGTTTTCCAATTTTCCTACTCCATCCCCGTTCCTCCCCTCCCTACCACTCCCCATTCCTCCATCCTACTCTTTCTCCATCCTTCCTGTATCCACATCGTCATCTTCCGTCTTCGCCTCCATCCCTCTTCGTATTCCTCAGACTGCCCCACGATCCTTGTTTGAATTTGGGAGCGGCAGCTTGGGCAAGAAACTGGGCCCTGGAGATGAAGCAGGGGTGGGGATGAGGTTGAGGTGGTCTTCGTTTTCTTGTTCACTGTTTTGCCGATCGCCGCGGGCCCTCGCACTTCCCCTCCACCCCATGGAGTAGATCTTGCTTGTTTTTGGCGCCTGTTTCGACCAGGTGGAGTCACCCTCACAGGACGCACTGTTGCAAACAGTCGTGCTAAGCAGAGGTCCGAAGCCAGACCCCCCCCCATCCCCCCCCTCCGCCCAATGTCGAAACGCCGAATAAGAGAACGCTCCAGGGACAGACGGACAGGGCGGTCAAGCCGCCGTTGTCTCATATGGTACTCCTCCGATGTCTGTGCCCGGCTGCGCGACGCCCGTCGCTGCTACCCGAGGTGGCACTCGGCGTCGGGCCGGTCTTCCTCCTTCGGCTCCGATCCGTGAGACCTTGGGCGCCCCCGCCCGAGCCGGGCTCGGGGGCCGAGCCTCGGCGCCCGTGCTGGAGCGTGAACGAGTGCAGCCTCGCCCTCCTGCCCAGCAGGCGAGCGGAGCGAGCCGCGGTCGTCTTGCGGGGCCTGGTTCGCGCGGTGCCCCTTTTTGTCGTGCTCGGGCCGTTCCCAGCCAGGATTTTATCGGCGTCACCCCGGCATGCTAATACTATGTGTTCGCCGCCCCCCCCAGGGGCGACGCGCGCACCGAGGAATCTTCTTGTAGATTGCGTCGTGGTGGGGAAGCGATATCTGCCTGCAAGGAGGACATCTGGTACTGGCTCTGTGCGCCCTCACTCTATGGCAGCGGGTGGGCGGCGCCGCGGGATCTCCGGGCGCGGGTGACCTGCGTGTGGGGGCGCGTGCGGAGCGAGGGCGGTCCTGGAGCTGGGCCCCGGGGGCGGCCTGCCCCGACTCCGCCGCGCACGGGGCCGTGCGGCAGCGCGGCTGTGTGCGCGGTCGGCGTCGCTCGAAGCCCACCCGCCGACCAGGGTCGCGAGCGGCTTCGGATCGGTCGCTCACGGGGGTCATCGCTGAGTCACCACCCACCAGACCACCCCAACCCAATCCGAAGGCTTCAATTTGTCCTCCATTTCTGGTGGGGCGGGTCGGGGAACATTGGGACATCACATATGGAACCCGCACCACCCGCCAATCCGAAACTTGGGTCTTCGGGTTGGGTTGGGGTGGTCTGGTAGGTAGTCACTGGGGCTGGCCCGCAGGGACAGCAGTCGGCTCTTCGAAGACAATCATAATGTGCCCAGTTGGGGCAAGCAGCTTGTTCACCGAGGAAGGGGGTCTCTTACTGAAGGGGGTCTCTTACAGAAGGCAACAGTGCGGTCGGACCGAGGTATAACATCGAGGTCGGTTCGGGGAGGGTACTCCAGTTTTCTTCGAGTTTGCTGGGTGTTCTTGTGCATCCCGGGGGGGGGGCACCCTCGAATGCTCTTCAGTTTGGGCTGGCGCAGGGTCCCATGTTCTTGAAGGGTGTTATTATGTCACAGGTCCGACCGTATGCGCCCTCGGCAAAAGGGCCACTGCGTTCAGTGAAAAAACTGTGCTCTCAGCTACCGCGCGGGTCTGGTGCGCGCTGCCACTCGCCCTTGGAGGCTCTGACGGGCGCGCTTAGCTTGGTTGCTTTGCATATGGCCAGCGCACTTCGGTGTCTCATCCTGGAGGCGGCCGCTGCTCTGGGGGTCTGCTGCGTTCGGGAAAAGGCGACGGCGATGAAGAAGAGGACGAGGAGGAGGAGGAGGAGGAGGAGGAGGAGGAAGAGGTGGAGGACGAGGAGGAGGAGGAGGAGGATCAGGGCTCGAACGCTCAGACCTGTAAGGCCGGCCGCGGTCGGGCGGAGAGCGCCGCGCAGGCGCGGCTATCGCAGCGGCCGCCACCTCGACGCCCCCCGGTGGCGACACTGGCGGGAGATCAGGCCGCGAGGGCTCTTCCGAGGAGGAGGAGGAGGAGGAGGAGGAGGAGGAAGAGGAGGCTGTGAAGGAAGGGGGTAGCATGAGGGAAAAAGGTCCTGGACGTTTTTCGCTTCAAGGGGCCCTGGAGGTGTTTTGCTGGCTTCGGGCTCCCGCGGCCCTCCCCTGTCAGCCTTGCACGTCCCACCATTTCATGGGTCCCATCGTGCATCTTACGTAGTTGGCCCATCCTGTCTTAAACCGCTTGTGGCGATTGGGAGGGGGAAGAGGAGGAGCAGGAGGAGGAGGAGGAGGACGAGGAGGAGGAGGAGGAGGAGGAGGGGGAGGAGGGGGAGGAGCAGGAGGAGGAGGAGTAGGAGGAGGAGGAGGAGGATGACGTGTTAGAACATGGCCATGCGATTGGGTGAGGATCATAGCCGCGTGTCTCTCAGTCAGGTCTGCCGCGCCCCGAGTTCTCTGAACACGACCCAGCGGCAGTGGACATGGTCATACAGTGGAAACCCATGCCAAGAAACACCCTGCTTGCCTCCTGGGTGCCCTGGGTTTCTTGGGCTTCGATGGTTTTGCTTCGGAAGGCGTGACGTTCCCACACCAAGAATCAGTGAACGTCTTGGGGTCTCAGGGTTGGGTTCCTTGTGGAAGGTTTCTTGTGGTCGAGCTCCTACTGTCATCTGGCGGCGCCGGGAGGAAAGAAGGCAGGGAGCAGCCGGGCGAGGACGAGGAGTCATGGCGGCGAGGGCCAGATGCTGGAGGGACGAGGGCAGGGGAGGCCTGTGCTTCCTGCGCCTGTCCGCGAAGTGCCAGCCCTCGAAGCCCGTCAAGACGCTGGTGTACCTCGACAGGGACGAGGTCGCCAGCCACGGCTCGGGGCTCGTCTCGGCGGCGAACGAGGAGGGGAAGCCAGAGGGGGCTGGCCTTCTCCGAAGGCTCGGAAGTCCCCCGGCCCTCTGAGAAGATTTCGGAGCCGTCCCCGAAGACACAGAAGACTTCTCAGAGGGCGCGAGAGCTTCTGAGAAGCCCCGCCGCCTTCTGAGAAGGCCTTCTCCATCTCGTTTCCCCCCCCCTCGCTCGCCGCCAAGGGGTCACCAGCGACGGCTCCGCACTCGTCATCCCCCTCCTCCTCGCGCACGTTCTGTCGCCTCCCCTCTCGTTTCTTGTCCTCCCGCTTCTTGTCGTTTCTGCGATCTGAGGCTGTCGTCGCTTCCCCCTCGGCCTCGTCTTCCTCCTCCTCTCCCTCGTTCCCTCGCCGCCCTTTGAAAAAAACAAGACTTCTGTCCTAACGGCGCTCGGCGGAGGTAAAGCAACAAAAACCTCCTCTTCGCGCCAAGCGCCGGGCCCCAGTCATGGTTGTTCCGAGCGTTGTTGCGCGCAAGGTGAACCAGAGGATCAAGGATGTGCACGTCTTGCCTCTCTCGCAGATCACCAGCCTTTCACAGATCACTGGCCTGTTTGACCATTTCAAGCATACAGATGTTCATTGGCTGATTGTTGCGTTGGAAAATAGGCAGGGGGCAGATCCTATCCAGGGCGCTGGGGGGGGCTGTTTTGTTTGACCGCCTGTGCGGTCAACGTATCACCTTTGTCGTAGGTTTGACGCCCGTGGGGAAAGGCTCGGATTCGACACGTGGATTTGTCATGGGGATGGGCGCCCCTTCTTACCAAGACACTCAGGGCCATGCCAGAACACTGCTGAGCCACTCTACCAGGGCCTTGCGAAGACACGACCAAGCCCCAATCTGGACACCACTAGGACCTACAACGGCCCTGCCCAGACCTTACCAGGACAGCATCGGAACTACATACGGCCATCACCTGATCAGTGCCAGGATATTTGTCAGACCTTACAAGGACCTTGCACCGACTTCCGTTTGATTTTATGAGGACCACACACGCATCTCATCGTAACCCTGCGATGAGACTGTATCAGGACCGCGCCAGGCCTAATCCTTGCAATCCGGCTCGTTAACTGGGACAGGTTACCTTCGGAACATTTGAAGGCATATTGGGGGCCTATGGGGCGGTTGTGACGGCTTGTCAGGGGTGTGCGGGGTCCGTCTGGGGACCGTTTGGGTGAGCGGAGCCATCTCGAAGCTTTTCTTCGCTTGGATGAGGTAATGATGTGCTGGCTTGGTTCAATCGCAGAGCACATAGAAGACCACCATCATGCTTCGGAAGCTATGTATTGGACCATCTCGGAGGCGTCGGAAGCCATACTGTGAGTGAGAGACGTGTCCAAGCGATCCTGGAAAAAATGGGCCAATAGAACGCCGTTGAGGATGCAAGGATCGGCATTTTGCAATCGGCTCTCCTAATCCACCCTCGTGGAATGACCAAAAGCGATACGGATGTAACATTAAGCTGGCCTGCCGGTCTAGCAGATTTGCAGGGTCAGCGAGGCTTGCATCACTGGTCGAGTTTGCTGTGTACCCCCCCCCCTCTTTCATGTGTCTGCGGGCAGGAGCTTGGCCGGAGCATGATCAGGAGAGCCCGAAGGAGGGTGCGGAGTGCATTTGCGGGGTCTGAGTCTTGCGTGGGGTGACCCGCAGGTCAGTTTCGGCAGGCTGCCGACCTGCACGGTCGTGTTAGACTCTGACCGGGCACCGCAGATGATTTCGAGGGCGCACGCCCATGTGAGGCGCGGCTCCGTGGGGCAAGGAAAGCAGAGATGATGAGGGGTCTTCAATCTAGGCTACAGACTATTTGCCCTTGTTAGTCGCTCGTGTGCGTGGGAGGCCAAGTGGTACGTTAGCAATCACCGATTATTGGCCAGGTCGTGCAAGAGATGTTACGCTGAATTCAGGAGCGCAGGACGCAGGGATTACGAAGAAGAAATCATGACACCGTACCTGCTCCAAGGACGAACTGGCCGCAGGGAGCCCAGCTTGTTTACTCCAGTATCTCGTGCGCCTCGTACCGCCCGGCCGAGCCTTGGAGGCTGAGCTGGTGAGGGCGAGAAGTACGGGGTTGAAGACGAAGGATGGAGGGCAGTGGGAAAGAGGCGGAAAGGAAGCGGCGGAGGAGTTGGGAGCGGGAGAGCGAGGAGGAACCAGACGAGGAGGGAACAAGGAGGGGGACATAGAGCGAGGAGAGGAGGAGTCTGGGGAGGGATGGGGGGCGGGGACGCGAGGAGGAGGAGGAGGAGGCGGAGAGGCAGAGGACCAGACGGAAGCAGCAGGGAACTCGCAGGCGTCACCAAAGCCCCGACGCTGTCCTTCCCGAGCAATGGAAGGTCGACGACAATAAGTCGACGAACGGAATCCTCGTGAACGGTGCGCAAGTGGGCTCCGAGGGGCACATATTGCAGGCTGCGCCGGGACCTAAAAAAGATGTCTTTGCTCAAGTATTTCCTCCCTCTGGTTTCTTCCTTGCTCCTTTTTCCTCTGCCTCGCCCTTCATTCGCCCTCCCTCCCTCCTCCTCCTCCCTCATCTTTCTAATCCCTAATCTCTCCCTCCCCTCGTTGTTCTCCCTCCCTCCTCCCTCCGTCCTTCTCCCTCTCCCTCCTAAATGTGTCCTCTCTCCTCCCATCTCTGTCATCCTTCATCGATCGGCATATGGATGGCAAATGTTTTTTCGCGGTGGGAGTGGTCTGATATCCATTCTTCGTTGTCGTTCTATCGTTGTTTCCTACAAAGATCGGTAGCAGTGATGTTCTCATATTGGTCAGATATGGCTCTGGCCTTCAGCCTGCTGGGCTCAGAGATCTAACTCTAGTCTTGAGCCCTCAGGGTTTCGTAGCCATCTGGACGTGATACATTTTGGCTTGAGGGCTGAAGCCTTCTAGGCTCGAGCATGATTGGGCTCAAGCCTTCTCAGCGGACTATATGCATGTTCGCTTGAGAAGGCGCTGTTTCTTGCGAAGTGTCAACCAAGAAGTGCGGCCAGGCAAAACAATGGACTGCAGCATAACACATCCCAGGCCACTATACTGCGACTGTCAGCGCATGCAGGACGCGCTCAATGCCAGCGGGCACTGTCGCTGGCCAGCGAAATGTGGAAAGCGAGGGTGGAGCCCAATGTCATCCCTCCTACAATGCAGGCGTCGTCGAAGGAGGGGCCCAATGCCTTCCCCTCTACAAGGCAGGAGCCCGCGCGTGCGAGAGGGGCCTGTGCCCCGATCGCTCCCCTTTTTTGCCCCCCCGACGGCCCTGAGAGCTTGAAAACTGCACCTGGGCCTCCAGGCTAATCCTGAGGAGTCCCGCACGGCCCTGGAGCGCCACAAGACGTGTTCGGCTCGGGCGAAGAGAGCTATGCAGCCTATGCACATGCACCGATCCTGGCAAGGCCCATCCTCGACCCAGCATCGGTGCATGTTCCTTCCCTGCCAAGGTGGGAGGGCGCATGCATCGATCCTGGCCCCAGGATGGGCCTCGCCAGAATCGGTGTGTGTGTGTGTGCATAGCTATCCTTCCTCTATCGGCGACACGCAAGAGGGACCCTTTGCGGGAGTGCCGTTTGGTGCGCGGCTCTCGTGGGGGAGCGCCCGGGGGGGGGGGGGGCAAGCCCAGGCCCAAGCGCACAGGCCGCCGTTGTCGCAGCGCATGCACCGGTCTGCAAGCCGCGCCACCTTCGCTTAGGTTTAAGTCGGGCATGTCCCCCCTACAGGAGGAATAACCAACAATACACAACACATTATCTGGGACAATTTTCGGTAATGCTTGACTATGCTTGGTTCGTGGTTGATTTTTTCTATGTGTCCTATAAAAGCCGCCTGTAGGGGGACATGCCCGACCTAAGCCTAGGCTCACCCTTGCGAGTGCAGCTCAGAGCTGAGCCCTAAGCGGGGTCACAGGGTGAAGCCAGGATGAGGCTGATGTTGCCCTTTCTCCAAGGGCCGTCGAGAGCTTTTTTTTCTCCAACCCCAACCCTGGCACTAATCCAAGTCTGTGTGCCCCCCTAGGCCCAGCGGGGGGGGGATTCGCAGGGCGTCCCCCACGCGGACGGCACTCCGCGCTGGCAACGGCCCCACGCGCACGTCGCCCGCACGCCGCACGCCTTGTTGACTGAGGGAGACGAGGGGGGAGGAGGAGAAGGAGGAGGAGGAGGAGGAGGAGGAGGTGGAGGAGGAGGAGGAGGAGGAGGTGGAGGAGGAGGAGGAGGAGGAGGAGAGAGGAGGAGGAGGAGAGGAGGAGAGAGGAGGAGAGAGGAGGAGGAGGAGGAGGAGGAGGCGAGGGTCAAGGGGTCACCTGCCCGGCCGGGCGCTCCTCCTCAAGGGCCTCGTATTCCCTCCCTCTCGCCATGGTGGCGTCCTGCCGGGGGGCAGTGCCGGGCGCGCCAGCCAGCAGCCAGCAACCAGTCGCTGGCAGGGGAAGAGTTACCCACCGCGCAGCGCCCAGCACAAAGCGGGGCTACCGGGGGTTCCCGCCCGCGCGGCGCTCCACCGGCTTCCAAGCCGGGTGGGCCGCGGGGTCCTCCCCCGCCTTCTGCACCCCTCCCACTTTGGCCGCGGAGCAGGTGCGACCCAGGCGGTAGGAACCCTGCCGCCTGCAGCCAGCCAGACAGGACTGGCCGGGGGCGCCCGGGCCCCGGACTGGCCAGGCACCGACGGCACACGCGCAAGGGCGTTCGACAGATTTCGACATGCGCGCGCGCGAAGCCCGCTTGGTAGCATTTTGTGAAAATCTTGGAAAACCTCTGGATTTCTTAAGGTTTCGCAAGAGCTCGCGCGTAAGTTTTGTTTAGCAAATCAGTGTTGCGAAACCATGTGTTTTATATGTTTTTTGGAAATTCAATTTTGAAATCTTTCCGGAACCGAAGGTTTTTGAAGGATTTCGGCATGCGCGCGCCACGACGCGCGCGTGTGCACTTCGTCTTATTTTTTGCAAGGGATTCGTGAAAAAGTGCTATGTTACAACAAAACATGTCACCGCATAGTGTTTTTTTACAAGGGAGCCGCAGGGGGGGGATACCGGCTTGGCTGGGATGGTATGAATTCATATTTAGGATGTACATGCGGTCAGAATCGTATGTAATTTACAGCACGCGCGGGGGACCCGATAAGTCCGGGGGGGGGTAGAATCTATTGCTCTTTTAGTAATCTTGACCGTCTTGAAGCTGTCCTCTCCACTGCTCGTGCAAACATCCCACCCTCCCACCCGCAACTTGGTCGCAAGACATCTTCAGACAAGACCGTGACGGTAGGTACTGCATGGCACTTGGCCACGACACCGATGCCGACGACGACAGCGACATCGACGACGACGGCGCCGCCGACCGCGACTGCGACGACACCGACGACGTCTCTCCAATGTTTTCGACGACGACGACGACGAGGACACCGACGACGACGACACGCCGACGACGACGACGAGACGACGACGACGTCGCCAAACGACGACGACGTGTTAGGAGAAACGACGACGGCGACAACGACGACAACGACGATGGAGGAGGGAAGACGGCGACGACGCCAACGACGAAGAAGGAGGAAGGACGGCGACGCCGACGACGACAACGACGAGGGAGGAGGGAAGACGACGACGACAACGACGACGACGACGACGACGGCGACGAAATAGGAGGGACGACGACGAGACGCCGACGACGGACGACGACGACGAGGGAGGAGGATAACGACGAGGGAGGAGTGAAGACACGACGACGACGACGACGACGACGGCGACGAAATAGGAGGGACAACGACGAGACGCCGACGAAGACAACGAGGGAGGAAGGACGACCACGGCGACAACGACGACGGAAACGACGACGACGCCAAGACGACGAAACGACGACGAGGAAAGACAGAAGACGACGACGGCGACGACGACGACGACGACGACGAGGGAGGAGGGAGGACGACGACGACGACGACGCAAGAGCGCGCGCGCACAATTTTGTTGAAAACCCGTGTTGCGAAACCTTGTGTTTTTGTATGTTTTTTGGACGCACGATTTCGAAATCCTTCCGAAACCTAAGGTTTTGGAAGGATTTCGGCATACGCCCGCGACGACGCGCGCGTCTGCACTTCGTCCCATTTTTTGCAGAGGATTCTCGCGACGGCACACGCGCAAGGGCGTTCGACAGATTTCGACATGCGCGCGCGCGAAGCCCGCTTGGTAGCATTTTGTGAAAATCTTGGAAAACCTATGGATCTCTTAAGATTTCGCAAGAGCTCGCGCGTAAGTTTTTTTAGCAAATCAGTGTTGCAAAACCATGTGTTTTTATATGTTTTTTGGAAATTCAATTTTGAAATCTTTCCGGAACCGAAGGATTTTGAAGGATTTCGGCATGCGCGCGCCACGGCGCGCGCGTGTGCACTTCGTCATATGTTTGCAAGGGATTTGTAAATAAAGCTATGTTAGAACAAAACTTGTCACCGCATAGTGTTTTTTACAAGGGAACCGCAGGGGGGGGGATACCGGCTGGATGGTATGAATTCATATTTAGGATGGACATGTGGTCAGAATCATATGTGATTTACAGCACGCGCGGGGGACCCGATAAGTCCGGGGGGGGGGGTAGAATCTATTATTTTTTTAGAAAGGAGAATAAAGGAGAATCTACGTGGGCCAAGATATCTGGTGCAGTCCATGTGGTGAAACAAATGTTATGTAAGCTACGTGGTGCAATATCTTTAGAGCACTCTATGTGGTGCAAGCTATGTGGTGCAATCCACTTTGACTGTCTTGAAGCTGTCCTCTCCATTGCTCGTGCAAACATCCCACCCACCCACCAGCAACTTGGTTTGCAAAACCTGTTCAGACCGACTACGACGACACCGACGACAACGATTAGGACGACACCGACGACGTCTCCGACGACTTCGACGACGACAACGACGCCGACGCCGACGAAGACGAAGACGACGACGACGACGCCAACGAAGGCGACGACGAGGGAGGAAGGACGACGACGGCGACAACGACGACAACGACGACAACGACGACAACGACGAGCGAGGAGGGAGGACGGCGACGACGCGAACGGCGACGAAGGAGGAAGGACGGCGACGCCGACGACGACAACGACGAGGGAGGAGGGAAGACGCCGACGACGACGGCGACGAAATAGGAGGGACGACGACGAGACGCCGACGACGGACGACGACGACGACGAGGGAGGAGGAGGAAGGACGACCACGGCGACAACGACGACGGAAACGACCACGACGCCAAAGAGGACGACGACGACGAACACGAGGAAAGACAGAGGACGACGTGGGCGACGACGACGACGACGACGCGGGAGGAGGGAGGACGGCGACGACGACGACGACGACGCAAGAGCGCGCGCGCACGCTTTTGTTGAAAATCT